TATGAAAGACATGGGTTTCTGCTGTCGCATTCCTTGTGTCAAGCCACTCTTGAACCACAGACAGCGTCAGAAGCGTCTTGCCTGGGCTAAAGAGAAACAGGACTGGACTGCTGGTGAGTGGTCCAAAGTCATGTTCTCTGATGAAAGTAAATTTTGCATTTCCTTTGGAAATCAAGGTCCCAGAGTCTGGAGGAAAAGAAGAGAGGCACTTCATCCACGTTGCTTGAAGTCCAGTGTAAAGTTTCCACAGTCAGTGATGGTTTGGGGTGCCATGTCATCTGCTGGTGTTGGTCCATTGTGTTTTCTGAGGTCCAGGGTCAACGCAGCCACATACCAGGAAGTTTTAGAGCACTTCATGCTTCCTGCAGCTGACCAACTTTTTGGAGATGCAGATTTCATTTTCCAACAGGACTTGGCACCTGCACACAGTGCCAAAGCTACCAGTACCTGGTTGAAGGACCATGGTATCCCTGTTCTTAATTGGCCAGCAAACTCTCCTGACCTTAACCCCATAGAAAATCTATGGGGTATTGTGAAGAAGAAGATGTAATACACCAGACCCAACAATTCAGAAGAGCTAAAAGCCACTATTAGAGCAACCTGGGCTATCATAACACCTGAGCAGTGCCACAGACTGATCGACTCCATGCCACGCCACATTGCTGCAGTAATACAGGCCAAAGGAGGCCCAACTAAATACTGAGTGCTGTACATGCTCATACTTTTCATGTTCATACTTTTCAGTTGGCCAACATTTCTATAAATCGTTTGTTTTTATTGGTCTTCAGTAATATTCTAATTTTCTGATATGATGAATTTGAGATTTTCATTTGTTGTCATTTGTAATCATCAAAATTAAACAAAATAAACATCTGAAATATATGAGTTTGTATGTAATGTATGAATATAATATACAAGTTTCACTTTTTAAATGGAATTACTGAAATCAATCTACTTTTTCATGATATTCTAATTTTATGACCAGCACCTGTATATTTGTCCTACACAATATCAAAAATCATATTTCATTTAAATCTTAATGTTTTCTATACTCATTTAGAACTAAGAATTAAAAAAAGAAAATTACCTTTCTGGACTTTAGGACTAACAAACCTGTGATGGTTTCTAACATTACAGCAGAGAAATGCATTTCCAGCATAGAGTGCACCTTATGTTTATTAAATCTGTGTATAAATGCATCTATAAATCCTAAAAATCTAATGTGCAACATTAATGCATCCCATTAGTAATTATTATTCCAATAAGTTCAGCATCTGCTCAGAACTTACCTGCGTAGCGGACTACAGATCTCCGAGGGGAATGATTTCTTCGTTGATAAAAAACTCAATAGTCTCCTCCTCCCAGTCGTCCACGTTGCTGTCCAGCTCATCGGTGTCCACACCTGAAGACACGAGGAGAGCTCAGCGGTTTCCAACCTGACCCCAATGACCACAAAGGGTTGATTGATGGTGGAAAAAATAAGGAGAGTTATTTCCCACCTCCTCTGAGTTCAAGGCGGATGCTCTTTTGGTCATGGTAGAGCTGCTGCGCCTCCTCCCGGTAGCGACGGTACTCCTCCATCATGGCCCTGCGCTTGTCCACCAGCTCCTGCTCGCACAGTCAGAACACACAGAGAGCTCCATCAGAAACACCATGTCAGAATTTCACAGACAAAATCATCAATTAAACTACCAAGTTTCTTTAGGATCAGACATTTAGACAAAAAAAGAAACAAGCTCAATGGACAAGAAAATAAGAATTTTTTTAATGGTAAACCCCTCCCTTTTAAAGACTTCAGATTCCACAGTCTGAAGATCGTCTACTGTCAGGCTTTCCTCTCACATAGGAAGTACTTCCAAATCAGTGCTAGTGTTCGTTTTGTCTGCTCCAACCCTCAGTCGGCAGAAGGCCACTCACAATGAGCCTGGTTCTACTGAAGGTTTATTCTTGTTGAAGAGGAGTTTTCCTCTCCACTGTCCCTTCATGCATTCTTTCTTTGTCAACAACTCATTGAAAGAGACCACCCAGTGTAACTAAATGCTCTTCCAGGAGGAGCAAATCCTGCAAAGTCAATGACAGGATGTAATCATCTGGATCTCCTTAGATAGAACGCTTTTAATCTGTCTGGATGATCTCACTGAGCTCTCTCTGAAGTATGTTGTATTAATGTGTTACCCTCCGGGGACGTATAAATAACATGAATTAAACAGAATAAAGTTGAGTGGATTGTTCAGGAATGAGGATGTAATTAGACCCAGTCTGAAATGAAGGATGGAAAGATTGATGGAAGCACAGATGCCTAAACTTTAAGACTAGAAGGTTAGGATAAAATAAAAATACTTTCTATATATTGACAAACAAGAGAAAGGAAAAAGGCGAACAGATGAACAGATTGATAGAGGATGAAGAGCAAGCCGATCAGACTGACTGGTGTGAATGATAGACAGAGGAACAAACAGATGGAATAATTGATTAATGGAAAAATTGACCACATGATCACAAATTATAGATTTGTTAGTTTGTATTGGTTTGACAAAAAATAAAATAAAAAATTGTTTATTCATATTCCCTTTCCTCTTACGCTTATCCAGATATGAATATACTAGTTTCATACTTTTAATGAGTCTAAAAACCCCTTCCAAAGAGCATTAATATCAGAAAAACAAAAAAAAACACAAACAAATCAAACCTTTGACGCCTTGGACTGGCTGAGGCGATCCTTTTGCTCAAAGATCTTGGAATATTTCTTCAGATCCTTTTTGATCATCTGTAAGAGATTTAAGAAGGTTTAATCAGAAATCTCAGGTTGCAGCTGTAGAAGTGCAAATTGTTCAGGTCCAGCTGTACCTTGATCTGATCCCCACTGAGCAGGGTCGGAGGTCTGGGTCGCCACAGCAGCTGACAGAAGCGATCCTTGTTGTTTTTCTGAAGCAGACGTCCTTGGAAAGTCCACAGCCAGTATGCGTTGTCCACCTGATCCCAGAGAGGAGGCAGAGGACATTAGAGAAAACCAACATTACCGTATTTTCACGACTATAAGGCGCACATAAACGTCTTTTTTTCCCCTCAAAATGTGCGGTGCGCCCTTTGGTGCGGTGCGCCCTATGTGTGTTGCAAGTGCGACTTTTGAGACCACCTCATTGAGGAGATGATGAAAGAGTGGCTGAATGTAAGGAGACCAGGTGTTTTTTTTCCACTCATCACCACACCATCGCTGTTAATCTGACTCCATGCGTGCCCATCTCACAGCTGATGTGAGCTGATGTGAGCGCGTTTTGAGCAGCAGGCGCAGCGCTTCGGGAGCGCGCCGCCAACGCGCTGCTGCTGCTCGAGATGGAAAAATTGAAGTTTTGCTGCTGGAAGCGCCGCATCAACAAATCAGAGAAGCTGATCTGGGAGCTGACAGCGAGACAGACACAGCGCTCTGATGACATATTAAGGCAAATGGAAAGGGCTGGATGGATGAGGAGATGATGAAAGCTTGGCTGAGGCAGGTATGTGAGGAGAACAGGTGTTTTTTTCCACGCATCACCATCGCTGCGTGCCCATCTCACAGCCGATGTGAAAAAAAAGGTGAATCAAATGAACGCTGTGCTCGCCGTTATCTCGGGGGTCTGACAAAGGAACTTCAACCGCTCGACATCGGTGTGAAGCGGCCGTTCAAAGTAAGGCTGCGAGCGGCGTGGGAGCGATGGGTGACAGACGGAGACCACAGTTTTAGGATAAGTGGAAGGCAGCGCCGGGCAAGTTACGCCACCGTTTGCGGATGGATTGTAGATGCTTGGACTAACGTGTCTGCTGGCTCTGTTGTTCAAGCTTTCGCAAAAGCAGGCATTATTTCTGAGGAGCCGCGCTGCACGGAAAGTGACTGACAGCGAAGAAGGGGAAATTGGCATGTCTGATTTAGCGCAGCTGTTTAATTCAGAAACAGAGGATGATGACTTTGATGGGTTCGATTAATACTTTGTAATAAATTAATGAATAAAGCACAAACATACTCAGTTTTGCTCCCGCTCTATTTTTCTACCTGAAAACTTAATTCAACAGCAGCCTCTGGCCGGGTCTCCTCTGGTTTCACCGCGGCGGCTGGCAGGTGTTTTTTCATCTAAATAATCTAAATCTTGCAGCTATATTTGCTGTGATCAGTGGGAATAAAGTAGTTTTAATATATTTTTAAGTGAGAAAGGCCACCTGAAAACTTAATAATTGCAGTCAGTTCATCCAGATTATCTATTTCTGTCGGAGGCGCTCAGACCCCCACATACCAGCGGTGCACCGACAGTAGGAATCCTTTCATCAGCAGCCTCTAGGCTGGGTAGCCTCCGGGTTCATGCAGTGGCTGGCAGGTGTTTTTCATCTAAATAATTTAAACTGCAGGCACCAGGATACCGGTAATAAAAGCGAACATATTCCGTCGGCAGGTTTCAGGATTTTACGTTAATTTAGGAGTGATCACAGCGCTCTGTCATCTGCGATGTGTCTGACTCACGGCCAGCTCCCAAGTTTGATTAATACTTTGTAATAAATACATGAATAAAGCACAGTCATACCCAGTTTTGCCCCCGCTGTATTTTTAAATACGCAGTAGAGGTATTTAAAGGTAGTAGAGGACATGTACCTGTATATAAAAAACGCGCCCTATAGTCCGGTGCGCCTTATGTGTGTGTTAAATACAGAAATGGCACACATAACTGAGAGTGCGCCTTTTAGTACGGTGCGCCTTATGGTCGTGAAAATACGGTAGTCCTGAGGACAAGTCTCTCATCTACCAGCAGGAGGCACTGCGTACCTTGTGGCTCCACCAGGAGACCGAAGTGACAACGTATCGCCCAGTTGGGTCCCACTCCACGTCAGACGCCATGTAGTGCTCGGCTATGTTCATCATGGTGCAGTCCGAGGTGTCCACGAAGGCCAGAGCTCCGTTCATACTGAGCACAGACATCAACATGAAGATGAGCACATTTCCAGGCATCGCTGGTGTTCAGAGGAAACAAACCGGGAAGCCTCAGAAAAGCGTTAGAATCAGGAGCTTAGCTCTCATATGAGGTGTCAGAAAAATGTTTGGTTTTTCATCAGCGGCTGCTTTTTTTTGTTTCACACAAAAACACTTTTAAATCTGACCTCCTGAGTCCTGCCAGCACCAGGAACTGTCCCTGTGGGCTCCAGAAAATACTGTTGGCCTGCTGCTTGTCAAACATCTCTGCAAAGAAAACAGAACCAAACATTACCTTTAAAAAAGAAGTTTAGAAAACACTGTTTTCTTCTTGTGTATCTGGGATTCACTTACTTATCAGCTCTATCTTGCCGTTGTTTTTGACGTGATAGAATGAGGCGTTGATTCTCGGAGACTCTCCGTGGAGAACTGCAAATTTGCTGCCATTTGGCTCCCAAGCAAATGCGATGATGCTTTCTGGAAAGAAAAAGGTAGAGAGAAGATTTACAGGGCACAACTTTAAACTAGATAACTTCTAAAGTATAAAAACTACACTGCATATCTATACGACACTTCTTCAGTGATCAGTCTTCAAGCCTTCATTGACAAAACTAATAAAATGGAGGAAAGATTGAAGAAAAGCATGACAGAAAGAAAAGGGGATAGAGGAGCCAATAAACAGAACCTTCAGAATCGAAGAGCGTTTCTGCTCTGTCCAGCTTAACAAATATTTTTTACAAAATATAAAAACATTTTAACCAAATATCAAGAAAAATAGATCTTAGAAAGTATAACCGGTACTTTTCCTGGTTGTGGATATTCAATTAATTGAATTATCCAAACTAAAACAAATGTTCCAAACTTTTCCTTACCAGGGTTCTATGCTACTTTTTTTTTTTTAAAGGGGGAAGAATTACAAACACTATTTGTGTGCTCTTACCCTTCATCTCCACCACATCAACAGGGACTTGTTTTTCCCTCATCCGGAAGATTTCAAAGTTGGTCACAACACCCTGAAAGCATGGAGACACACACACACACAAAAACATTAGGATATTTTCTTAAAGGCACACTATGCAACATTTTTCAGTTAATTAATGTGTTCCATAACGTTTTGGATGATTAAATGAGTCATTTCAGGTTGAACAAAGGTATTCTCGGCCGCCCTGGTGGTCTGTGGGGGAAATACTGCACTTGCAACTGCAGGAGCACCGACCCGCACCCACAGGCTCAGAAGTCTCGTGAGAGTCAGTCTTGCTTTACGGCGAGAACTGCTACACCCCCCAGTTAAAAGCATTCTCGTTGCAAGCACAGTGGCGATCTTTGTGCAGTTATGCTACGTTCACGCAGCAAAATCGTGTCTGCTGCTTCATTTTTGGTGCTTGAACCAGTTAGTTCTGACGCTCTGGCTGTGCGGTGCAAAAGTGTGTCTGACGCGCGTTGGGCGGAGCTTCACTATCCTTTCTCTGCCTTGCAGCTATATTTGCTGTGATCATTTGGAATAAAGTAGTGTGTTTAAATGAGAAAATACACCTGAAAACGTAATCAGTGCCGTCAGTTCATTCAGATTATTATCCTGCCTTCAATATTTTTTCTGTCGGAGCCGCTCAGACCCCCACATACCAGCGGTGCGCCGACAGAAGGAACCCCTTCATCAGCAGCCTCTGGCCAGGTCACGTCCTCGCGGTTCACCGCGGCAGCTGGTAGGTGTTTTTCATCTAAATAATCCAAACTGCATATTCTGCCGGCAGATTTCTGCATTTTAAGTTAATTTAGGCGTCAATAAACTGTTTAAGAGGAGAGAGATCATAGCTTCTGATCATCAGCGCTGTGTCTCTCTCCCTGCTTCAGCTGCTCAGACGCGCTGGGCCTGCTGCTCCTTGACGCGCGTCAACCATTGACTTTGCATGTAAACTCGCTGCTTCTGTCGCGCCAGCTGCGGTGTGAACGCAGCATTAGTCATTCGTTGCGTTCGCCTGTCTGCTAAGCTCAAAACAACCGCGCCTGGCTTGACGGAGAAACCAGGAGAACAGCGGTGCATATTTACGACAGTGCACTTTTACTTTCGCCCTCTGGGGGGAGTCTCGCTGGAAAATCAACACCGGTTGCATAGTGTACCTTTAAGTTATTTGCAATCTAAAATGTGAGCAGCTTCCCCATTTCTTTTCTAGTACCTGTGTTCCTTTAGGAGTCCTGTCCACTTTAACACACAGGTAATCCCCATTTCTCTGCCAGTGGAGCTTGCAGTCGACGACGTTGAAGAGATTGCGGACACGGATCTCCTGCCGGGAAGGAAGCTGCATCAGAGTCACTCTTGCAGGGATGTTCTTGTCCTCGGGTACCCAGAATGCGATGATGTTGTCTCCAGGAGACCAAGAGAAATCTCTGCAGAAAAAAAGTAAATACTCTCTATGCATGCAAAAGTTTTTTTGCAAAACTGATAAAAACATTTCAGTATATCTTACTTGATCCCAGTGATCTTGAGACTTTTCTTATCCAATAAACCCATTGACTACAGAAAGAAAAAAGCAGAAATATTCCTTTAGGATCATGTTTCTACATATGTTGAAAATAGAACTCTGCTTTTTAGATTGCCTACTGGAGTCTCATAGATGCTTAGCGTGTCTGTAGTCATCCTTGCAAAGAACTTCCCATCATGGCTCCATCTGAAAGCAATCATTTACAATTACACTCATCACTACAGGAGAGGCAAACCTTTGTTATCAGTAGGGATGGGGATCGTTAATATTTATTGATATCGATACCTTTATCGATACTTCTTATCGATCCGAGTCTTTATCGATGCCACTATCGATACTTTTCTGTTATTTGGTGGAAAGACGATGCGACAATATGTTTTTAACAGACAGAAAGGAAGTGGGAAAAAAATTTATTTGAAGAAATGTCCTATATTTTGAAGAAAGGTCTTCTTTTGGTTTAAAAAAAATATATACATTTTCACAATTGTTGGTTAATGTATTGTCTACTGTCACTTTTCATCATGTTTTTAGTGATTAGGAAAATATTTAGCAAATAATCATATTCTAAATTAAATGTAATTTTTAATAAATGTTGGCATCAGTAGTTTAATTATATATTCTAAAATAATTAGAGCAATATACAACTTTATTACTCATGTTTCTCGCCAAAAACTCAATTTCCCTTTTCTTTACGTTGCACTTGAACGCATCATGATAACCTAATTGTCGTTTTACTGAGCCAATCTGAACACATCATCACGCAGCACGTCTGAAACTGTTTACTTTTCAAGCTAACTAGCTTGTATGCTGCCGATTACAATACGGATTTCACAATTACTATTTTTAACTGACCGGACAAGCTTCAAAGTCTGTGTGCGCGCTTACCAGCGGTACTCTGAGTGGATGATGAAGACGGGTAGACAATGGTGCGGCAGCAGCAGGAGGAGGAGGAGTCTTTTCAACCCGGAGACAGTCGAAGGTACTGCATTTGGCCTTTATTTGATGCACAATATTAATGTGCTTGGCCATTGAGGTTGTGTTCCCCTCTTTAAAAGAGATGATTTTGCAACATAAGTTGCATTTCGCTTCTTCTTTATCTTTGAGCTTGGTAAAATTAAGCCAAACTATAGACCTTTTCGTCCGTTCATTCATCCTCGAGTCGCAAGCGAAGTTAACTGCCAGACTTCACTTGTTTTACTTTTAATATCTGTTTGCTTACAATTTCATTCCAAAACATTGGTGGACATGCTGCAGTGATCGGATTGATTAGATTTAAATGCTGTGACGCGACTCGAGACACACACAATTATGTTACAGGACCTCCGGGAGAAAAAAAAAACAAAACGACCAGACTCGATAGCGGTATCGATAAGCCCAAACGTTATTGATTTTCGGGTTTTGAAAAAAGTGGAACCGGGTCCTTGATGGAACCGGGTTTCGATCCCCATCCCTAGTTATCAGGTAGCATTATAGAAAGAAGGTGGAGTTCTGACTTGAATATCGGCCAGTGTGCTGAGCTCTCGCAGTGGAAGCCTCTCTTCTTCTGTCCTGTCAGGATGTCCCAGATGATGATGGCCTGTGGATCCTCCTTGGTGTCCATCAATGGACTAAATGTCACTACATACCTAAAAGGAAGAAACACACGCAAACAAGATTCAGACAGACGGTGATGTTTGGTTTCAACTCTACAGGGAACTCAAAGGATTTACTTCCATAATTCTCTGAAGGTGTGGTTCCACTATACCAACAAAAACCTCAATTACCCTGAGCCTCCTGCTTAATCTCGTCTTGGTCTGATTGGTGTTAATGTAATCACATCTGCTGAAGCTGTGTGGGCCGATCCTTCTTAATGCTCCCTAACAGAGTTCTGCTGCAACAATAGAATCGGAACTTTTAGGAGTTCTGGATAGCTTGTTAATCTAATGAATAACCGCTCCATGTTCAGCTTACTTGATGGGATTTGCAAAAGACCTTTCAGTTCAGTCGTCTGTGTGACCTCGCCCAGCAAGGGAGGAGGGGGCAGCTCTAGGATGGGTCAGAAATAGGTGAAACAAGACCAGTAAACCGTTGACTTCAGAATGTTTCATAGCAGCTACAGCCTAAAACAGCAGTGAAACGGTCTATTATGGGAATGAAATCCGATTATCCCACCATTATTTGGGCAGGAGAGGAGAAAGATTTCAGTCAGAGTAAGTCTGTTCTCTTCCAGAGAAGAGTTGCTTGGTATACCGCTACTAATTTGGTACTGAAATTGAAAAAGGGTGCTATACAGCATTTGGCTGGGTTCAGTATTTACAGCACAGAGGACGGGGAGCAGGTTGGGGAGAGAGCACGAGACCCGACTGCCAGCGAAGTTGTTGCTATATTTAGAGAGGTTCAGGAGGAGTTTCAGAAAAGTGACTGGTGAATTTCCTCTGTGCTGTTTAAGACTTCAGGAACAACACATAGGAGCACTGATCGTTTTTACCGAGCAGTAAGAAAAACAACCCACAATATAAAATATCTATTCACCCGTTCTGTTAATGAAGAGCTAAAAAGACATGGATTAAAGTATGAAGCTTTAGTGTATTCTTCAACACGTTCTGGTCATTTGAGGAAGGAAATTCAAAGAAGACAACTAAAGGTGTGCAGAGTTCTGAAGTGGTTGTTGGATAAAGTTCCAAGTTAC